ACACACACACACACACACACACACACACACACACACACACACACACACCCCTAGGTGAGAAGACCCAGTCAGGAAACTGTGTGCCCTTAGGCAAAAACTTTCCAGGATCTCAGCTTCACTACCCCCACCCCACACAAAAAGCTTGTTAATAGCTGGGAATAAACTTCGAAAAGTTTCAAACTCTGTACCAATGCAAAGTCCTTCCTGGGAAGGAGCGGGGAGGGGAGGAATGAGTGATGAGATTAATTCCCCACATATAATTTCATCTGTATGGAGAATTGATACCTAGTGTGGAACCCCCTCCACCAATGGAGATGGGCAACTTTTCTGTGCCTTAGAACATTAGTAAGTTCCCAGGGACACAGAGGTTAGGTGACTGACCCATGATCACAGAATTAGGATGTGTCAGAGGACTTTGGGAGTCAGCCCTCTCTCTATACCACTATTGCCTCTTCTCTCTCTGCTATACACCCTAATTTTTAGGGAGCAGCCATGATCTGCCGGCTCCTATGCTCATTACCTCTGTAACCCTGGGTAATTTACTTAACCTCAGTCCCTTCACTTATTACATGAGAGTATAATAAGGTTTGCTCTTCTCACCCTCCTTGGCTTTTGAGAATCTTGAGAGGGTCTGTAATCTCATTATTATGAGTTCTTCTTCCAAAGATGCAAATGGAGACCCATCCATGCCCTCTCATCCTGTGCACCTCTTATCCCGGTTCTCCAGACAGTTTCCTACAGGGGGTCTGCTCAGCTTGCTGGGGCCTCCCTCTAAGTCTCAGCACGTTGCTGGGATATCAATGGAGCACAGAGGTTGTCTATTGGTCTAATTGTCTGTCTCCTAGCCTGACTAGTCCCCACCTCTTTTGCCAGTCATTCTTCTCCGTTGATCACTGGAAAAATATTGGTGGGGGGGGGAATGGACTTTTGTTTCAGTAAACAGCTTGAGATCATTAAAAGCCTGGCGCTTAATAAATGCTTATTGACTAACTGATGTAGTGTCCAAAAGGCAATCCATCTTTCTCTTTCCTTCCTATTCAAATCTGGGCTCAGTTCGTTGTCCTTTGCTGGGCAATATCTGTCCATAAGACGTGGGCTGCCCATCCACCTGTATATCATAGTCTGGGCAATAGGCCTTCTTCATCCACTTGGTTTTTCCTGTGTAGATAGTTCAAATTCTTTGAAGTGCTTGGAGGTTTCATCACCTGAAATCTCATCATCACAGAGAGTGATTCAGCTTTGATACTGAATACCTCCCCAGTACTCTCCATTGCCTCTCCCTTGGGACTGAAGGATGGGAGTATGGAACAATAAACTCTCCAAACCTCTCTCTCTAGAGGGCTCAGAATTTTCCAGTTGACTCTTCATTTCCTATCAGCTCCTCAGGTTGGTTTGGACTCACATCACTCTTGCTGGGTACCCTCAGGCACCCCTCTCTCCTCACCTTTGAGCCTTCTTTGTGCATAGTCATCTTCCCCCATTAGATAGTAAGCTCTCTGAAGTCAAGGACTGCCTTTTTCGCCTTTGGGTACCCATCCCCAAGGGCACTTAGCCCAGTGCCTGGTGCCTAGTAGGAGCCAGTAAATGCTTATTGATGATTTTAGTGGGATATTCAGAATTCTGGGGCTTGTTGTAGTCAACATAATGTTATCTGCAAACAGATGCAAACTCTTTTGTCAGACCCAGACTGAGGAGTCACCGCATCTGAATTAACATCCCCATCTCCTGTGGGCTCCTCCAGGAAGTCGAAATGACTCTAATGAAAACAAAGATGGGAAAAGCAACTGGACTGAACCAAGAATTTACAAGGGAGGCCCATGCAGAAAGCAGCACAGTAAGGAGGGCATTGGCACAAGTTGTAGGACACAGAGAGAGCAGTTCTCAAAGATATTTGGAAGGAGGGAGGATGCCAAACATTTGGGAAAAATCATGGACTCTATGATTATAACACCACCACCAAAAAAGAAAAAAGATGACTGAGAAAAATGTCATTAACCACCAACTCACACACAACTAGGTGTCCTGGTGGACAGAGTGTTGGGCTCAGAAGTCAGGAAGGCCTGAGTTCAAATTCAGCCCCACATACGTCCTATATGTGTGACTCTGGGAAAGTCATTTTAATCTCAGTTTCCTCATCTGTAAAATGGGAATATTAATAGTACCTACCTTCCAGGGTCGTTGTGAGGATAATACAAGATAGCATGTGTCAAGCGTTTTACAAACCTCGTAGCACTTTAAAATTATAGCTAGATTTCCTTTTTTTTTTTTTTACAAAATTCTTATGAGTTGTATGGAAAGAGTTTTGGTAAACCTCGAATCACTAGAAAAAGGTGAGTTATTATTTCCTCATCTATGAGAGGAAGAGGGGAGAATGACTAGCTAATCTTTGGAAATCCTTTTCAGCTCTAAATTCAGTGATGCTGTGTTATA